TCTGAGTATTTTTGTAGTAGTAGACGTTCTTTTTAAGATTCCCTGATTCCTGACTCGCTGCCCAGGGCTTGATTGTGTAGCTGCCCTGTTGTGGGACAGACTGAGTGTGTATGATGGCTTTGACACGGTCAGCAGAACTGCTCTGGAGTGAGGAAGGATTGGGAGACTAATGCTCAAGGGAACGTTAGGCTTGATGTGGTTTTATGAGAGCTTTTTATAAAACTTTAATACAGCAAGTTTCCGTGCCATGAGAAAAATCGATATAATGTAATACCCTTCCACCTGCAGGAGTGTGCTGTACATCAGTCATAATGAAACACATCGCTGAGTCAAGCGCAACGTTAAAGATCCTGTAGGCCAGATCCTGCAGCCACTGAGTTGTGGACAAAAGTGATTCAAAGGAACATTTTGACAAAAAAATCAAGTTTATCAATCAATCATTCACAAATGGAGTCAATCAGCTGAGAGACAGTCCAAAGTTTGCGTCTATAGTTTTACAAAAGTGTTCTTGGCTTTGCAGTGTTCTTTCACAGATAACAGCAGTGGCTAACTATGATTATTAGAGCTGGTCCTTCAGTTTAGGCTGCCTTAGGGTCATAAAGGTCAAAACTCTGTCAAAAAATAAGATAAAATTACACCTCTATGATAAGGCTAATTTCTGCTAGCGCCCTAAGGGATTTCTAGCTGTATGTTAGCGCTGTGCTGACGATGCTGCAAATGAACATTTTTGGACTGTTGTAGATTAAAATAAAATGCAGATAAGAAGGCATTCCATATATATTATTTGAGGACTGTAAGAGACATTAACAGTTATATTTAACACTGTTTTCTGAAACGTGTTTGGATTACAGCTTATATGCACAGTGGGTGACTTCCAGAAGGCCTAGAGTGAATTTTTAATATTTCATTGCACTACAGTGTATGCAGGTCTACATGGCTTGCATAGCTCAGTCGGTGGCTCGGATAGCTCAGTTGGTAGAGCATCGGACTTTTAATCTGAGGGTCCAGGGTTCAAGTCCCTGTCTGGGGGTCCAGTCATGGGCTGGAGGTTAGGGAACCAGTCCGGTGACCGGAAGGTCGCTGGTTCAATTCCCTGAGCCAACAGTATGTGACTGAAGTACCCTTGAGCAAGGCAGCTAACCCCTGGGCGCTGTGGGTAGGGTTGCCCACCGCTCTGGGCAAGTGTGCTCACTGCCCCCCACTGTGTGTGTTCACTAGTGTGTGCATGGATGGGTTAAATGCAGAGGTGAAATTTCCCCATTGTGGGACTAATAAGGGTCACTTAATTTTAATGACATTGAGTTTGCGAAATACTAAGTGGGGTACATGAGCTTCATTAATGTTAGCTTTAGCGTTGTAGCTCCAGTGCAAAACTAAAATAGTTAACGTATTTTGGCTGATCGACTACATTTGGTGTGAGGCACTGTAAATTTGAGGTATATCTGATTTTTATCAAACTCTGACAGTACATAGAGCGAAGGGTGGGGAGTCTTTCTAAACTAAATGACCAATAAGTAGTAAATATGACGCAATGATTGTGATGAGATTTACAGACTCTGCTAGGGAGTTTGAGAGAGACTGAGAGTGAGAAAGAACAAGTCAGGAGGACATGAGAAGAAATAAGGGACAGATGTAGCGATCTTAAAAGGGTACAGTGGCCCAAATACAATATTTTTCTTCATATGGGACACAGATGTGACATTTTCAATTCTGATTTGAGACACTTTGGCTACGTTTACACAGCAGGTAAAAGTGGCCCAAATCTGATTTTCTGACCAAATCTAATTTTTTTGTTTGGCTGTTCACATTATCTTTTAAATTTGATCTGTATGCAACATCAGTCTGAACAGATCAGCTCCTAAACCGACCCGCATGCGCAAAAGAACAATGCTTCACGTGTCGTGCTCGTCCAGAGGTAAACAGTTATGACGGTCAGCGAACGCCAGTCGCTCCCGGAGGATTCAGTTTCATCTTCGCCAGCATCACAGGAGCCATCATGAAGCTTCACTGACTGACATCTGGGCTCATCACCCACAATGCGTTTGATTTCACCGGTTTGTGTCCTCGGATTCTTTAAACTGTTCTTTGACGCTGCAGCCTTGGTCTCCTCCAGTCTTTGGCCGTTTCATTCGAAACCTCTTCAAACATGGAGCGGTTGCGATAAAAATCTTCTAATTTTTTGGTACAGAAACATCAGTCTAAATAGACGAATGTGGAGCTGGACTGACATAAACGTCGCATGAGTTCCTGTTCAGACTGAGTCGCATTACTGCAGATCGGATATGGATCAGATTTCAGTACCACATATGAAAGCGTCTCAAATCGGAATTGAAAATCTCAGATTCATTGCGTTGTTTGCTGCTCACACTGACATAAAGACACACATCTGTGTCACATATGAAGAAAAAGATTGGATTTGGGCCACTTTTACCTGCTGTGTAAACGTAGCCTTTCATATGTGATACTGAAATCTGATACGTATCCAATATGCAGCCATGCGACTCTGAACAGCCAGATTGGAATTCATGCAACATTTACACCAAGCCAGCTCCACATTCATCATAATTTAGCGCTGCTGAGACTCATAAACATTTAGGCCGATGTTTCTGTACCAGAAAACTAGAAGAGACTTACTGCAACCGCTCCGTGTTTGAAGAGGTTTCAGCAGGCTGAACGCGGCTGAAGCACTGTTCTTTTGTGCATTAGGGTCAGTTTAGGGGCTGATCTGGTCAGACTGATGTGGCATATAGGTCACATTTACAAGAAATTGTTGCTGAAGTCTAAATTTATGCTAACTTGATTCCTCGCTCCTCCAAACAGGTCATCTAACTAACATCACCTGAGCTAATACAGCAATGGAACAGCCTTTGAGATGGCAGTGGGAAATAGTGATGGGCATGTAAATGAGGGCGTGTTAAAAACAGCATTAAAATGGAAGGTTGGATTCTGAACTGGAGCTAACACCAGAGTGGAATGGAGGCTTTTTCCCAGCTCACGTTTCATCATGAGCCTCCAATTCTGCAATACGCAGAAATTCTCCACTTCTCGTTGCCATGGTGCCGTCCGTATCTTCCACCATCTATGTAGGGCTTTAAATAAACCTTTAGACTGTAACAAATGCTGCTTATTTCATGTCTGTCTAGAAGGTATTGCTTATTTTACCTGTAGGTTCAGCTGATGGTTTAAGAAACTGAACATTTTTAGTGAATATTGGACAGAATGAGACCTTCACTCACTCCAAATCTGCTCTCCTCTCCCTGCCCCAATCTACTTAAAGCCTCTTCCTCCCTTAAATCATTGATGGAGTGAGTGAGGTCCACACCAAAGGTTGAACCACATGCTTTAATGCTGACTCAGCATTGAGGTGCCCTCACTCTGTGGACTCCATAAAAGTCCAGGAGGTGATTGGGGAGCTTGTAGGGATCACTGTGGCCCGGTTCACAGCTGGCAGGAACATCTGTCTCAAGTGATCTGATCACAAGTGGACAGTGAGACCTAAAGTCGTTTACACCTGGCAATCTCTAGTGACCACACGTGGTCAGTTTACATTTGTTGTTCCTTGTTCGTGTACAGGCTGTATGGGCTGATGCAGTAAAGTGAAAAAAGTATTTGCTCCCTTCCTGATTCCCTTTAGTACTGGTTATATTGGATATATTGCTTGTATCTCCAAAATGGTAACTTTACAGGAGAAGGAAAAAACCTTCTTTACTGTTAATGTAAGTCAATGGAATCAGACTTATTTCCAAGTCATTTTGGGATGTTTCTTGTGGCCCATTCATCATGAAATTTACACACAATATACAGGACAATAGGCTTTTTCAAATTATGTAAAAAAACTGAAAAATGACAAAAATGGAGATACAAGGTTTTGACAACAGTGATATATTATATATGTATTCCTTGAATATTGGATATTTGTTTTCAGATCTTTAGACAAAATGTAATATTTAACAAAGGGAATCTTCATAAACAATAACATATTTAAAAAAAAAATATTTCATCTATTTGGGGAACAAAGTTTTCAAACACATGAATCATTCGTGTAAAAAATGTAATTGCCCCCTTATTTACACAAGCCACACTCTTGAAGGGCTCTTCAAGGGTTCTTTAGTGAAGGCAATAGTTCTATTTAGAACAATGAGTTCTATATAGAACCATTTCATGCTTAAATGTTTCTTTGCATAGTGAAATTGATCTTCAGATTGTATATGGTTCAATAAAGAACATTTTTCAAAATTTTTACTATTTTCACAAGCTTGACCTCATAATAATAGCAGAACCATTTCTGGTTATGTATAGAATGTATAGGACCATATGCAACACATTCTTCATCAATCTGAAGAACTATTTCACCAGGCAGAGGACTCATTGTTCTATACTGAACCATTCCCTTTATTAAAGAACCCTTGAGGAACCTTTTTTATGAGTGTACAAATTAACCGAATGTAACTGACAGTGAGATTTAGCTGATTGAACACAACCAGGCTTGAATGTGGACAGCCTGCTGAATGTAAACCTCACTGAATCTTACCATCAGAGTGATATAGTCACCCCAACCTTTTTACCAGCACACTCAGCCACGATCAAAAGAAAATACATAAGAGATGAGATAATAATGGATTTAATGTGTGAACAGTGTTTACATAAGCATTTGTAGGGCATAACAGAACCACAGTGAGGGCCATTACCTACAAACTGAGCACCCCAGGAACATTGTTAAATCTCCCCAGGAGTGACCAATGCAGTGGCTACTTATCTGTGAACTTACCTAACAAAAGATGCAAAGTAAATTGGAAAGAAGCCTGGATTAAAATTCCCTCACACTGACGCGAAAGGCTGATATCAAATCAGTTGCAGTTGGAATCACTGGCTCACAGGTCATTTTATACTATGGGGGGTAACAGGCACCCCTGCCTCAGATAACCATCTCATCCCACAGCTGGCATTTGAACTTGAATTCCAATCAGTGAGGTGTTGACTAACCTTGTGTCCTCCTGCAGGTTGGACCAAGTTTGCGCGGCTGACCCGTGCCCTGACCAACAGCAGGAGTACCATCCAGCAGCTGACTCCTGTGAACAAGACAGACGTTAGCTCACATAAACACTCACGACTAGCAGAGGTATGTGCACATACACATTTACACACTATCACATTACTCCATACCTTTATTTCTAAGAATGTATGCATGGAATGTACACAATTAATCAGTGAGAGTCCCTCACAGCCTTTATTGCCCACCCCTAATTCTTCAGTGATATGAAGCTGAAGTCAGATATTCGGCAGCTTCTTGCTCAGATTTTCCCGTTCCACCTTAAATGGTGCAGCAGTTACATTCTGGCACTTCAGGCGTCAGAACTGCTGGACTATTTAAGGTGAAACGGGTAATTTAGCCAGCTACCAAGACATCAGCACACTACTAGCGAATTTTTTATGCTTGTTATGAAAAAAAAAGATCATAATACACTGAAATGACATTAAACAAAGACAATGCAGTGGTTATCTTTCCGGTCTTTTTTTTTTCCCTCATAACACTCTGTTTGAAGTGTGCCTCTGAAAAACCTCTGTTCGGAGGGCCATGTAGCCCTAACACTTTGCCCTACCCCTATATCGAAACAAGAATCGGGACACCCTACCCCTAGACATGAACATGCAAAACGGAGGGCTAAGGGATAGATAGTAGGGGCGAGGGGCGAAATGAGATTGGGCCTAAATACTGTTTTCTGTTTCTTTTCTTACACTGAAAAATGAATTTATGCTTAATTGCTGTTTTTACTGGAAATTGGATAAACAAACGGGTGGTTTCTGTTTTGCACAGCACTGTATACATGTAACTGCTGCTGTAAATACTGCTACACCTTACACATATACAGTATATACCGCATTGTCTTACAACTTTGACCGCACAGAAAGTTACACTGTCTGTTACAAGGACAAACTTGTAACACAACCACAGGTAAGCGCACACACACATGCACACACTCAAGGACATTATTGTAACACAATCACACACACTGTCTCTGGACGAGTGCTGCTCCTGCAGCTGCCCGGCAGAAGTCATCATCAATAATTTACACCATGTTTTAGCTGTAGTGAATGGGGGCTGGATTGGACTTTCATATTCTCGTTTTTGGGAGTGTGTGGGTGGTGTGGGAGTTTTCCTGGGTTTGTTGTGTGAATTATAGATTCAGTGAGAGGGGGGTTTGTACTCCTGAAGGCAACAATTCGGCCAAAAATCTAATTTACAGTTTCCCCCATTAACCTAAATGTAGTCAGCTAAGATATGTTCGGTGTCTGAAGCTATCAGCACTGGTCAAACTGCAGCTCACTTGCCTCACACTGCCCAAAATATGTACCCAGCACTTTGAGTTTCTACCTCACACTTACCAGGTTAATACCTCCAACTTAAGGGACAGTAAAAGAAGGCATTACTGAACGTTTGGATCTTGTGGAAGTTTTTTAAACTTAAAAAAAAAGCTTCTTCAAACTTATGCGTCTTCACACGTTTCTCTAAGGAACCATTCATTGAAAGCAAATGTGAAAAGCTCTGATGTGTTTCCATGGTTAATACTCACTCTGTATCTCTGTCCACAACACATGCTTCTTCTCCCACTCTCCATCTGTTCAATTCCCTCATGTTTTTACACTCTGTTGTTCGCTCTCAGTGCTCGTCTCTTCATCTATCCAATACCTGATACTCATTCAGTGGGAGCGTAAACATCTGAGCCCACGTTTTGAATTGATTACGATCCTTTAGGAGACGATCCCTAATAGCAAGAGGAGAGTGGGTCACTGCTGGCCCGCTGATGGCAGAACTGGCGGTCCACTGGCATTTTGCTCAGCGTTTTTTGGGCGGCCCATCGGTGGTTAAGCAGAGTATTAGTCAAAATTCCACTTATCATCGCTCATTTTCCACTCACAGTCTGATTTACTTATTTTCCCTTCCTTCATTTCTTTAGTTATACTTTGTAAATTAGTTTAGTAAATTATTTTAATCCAGTACAGTGTCAGCAACATTTTCTATAAAATCAATCATTTTTATATTAATTGTTATTTTTTTTCTCTCAGTTGTTTGTAATATTTGTCTTAGTTTATTTTCTAAAATAAAAGTCTGTGTGCATTTAAAATCTGTTTAAAGGAGATTAAAAACTAGTTAGACCTTGTATGCAGGAAAGTAATCTGGGTGGTGCGAGGGTGGACCAGCAGTAGCAAACAGTCAGTGGGTTGCCGACCTTATCAAGCCAGCGGACCGATATGTGCTCACTATCTGGGATTCATTGCATTGTGAAATTTCAAAATGATTTGATTAAGTTATTTTGATATGATTCGGAATTATTACAACTAACAAGGACACACAGTGCCACTGATGCAAAGCACCTCTCTTCTGAAGAAACTGTGGTGCTAACAGGGCCCCCTTGTGGAGAATTTTCAGACTGCTAAATGTGAGTTAATGAGTGTCAAGTCATATCTAAATGAATATAGCATAGAAAACATCAAAATAGCATCTAAAGCATCTAAAGACTATACAGACATTAGAGTTTTAGTTTTAGCAGTTGTAAATAGTCAGAGAATTTCATTTTTGCCAAAAAAAAGAGTGCATTCTGTATTGAATAGTATTATAATCCATTACAACATTCAAAAATCAATGGAATTGATACTCCACCTTCAGATCATTATGACAGGGTGTTTAATTCTACACTAAATTATGTAGTTAGGGAGATACATTTGCATTTCCAATCACATTTCCGTTCTTTATTAACAGGTTTTGGTCTGCGCTTCTGACTTGTTTGCATTCATGCCAGAAATACCGCAAAATAATACTGTAGACATAACGATAAAAGTTTAGAATCTGCGCTTTCAACATAATTTTTCAGCAAGAAAATGACAAAATGCTTTGTTATAGCTGGCAATAACTGCAAATTCTAAAAGTTACTAATTTATCTCTTGGCTTTCTCAGGTGTTCCAGCTGGGTTCAGACATTCTGCCTCAGTACAAGCAGGAGGCTCCCAAGACCCCCCCTCACATCATCCTACACTACTGCACCTTCAAGACCACCTGGGACTGGGTCATCCTCATCCTCACCTTCTACACAGCCATCATGGTGCCCTACAATGTCTCCTTCAAGACCAAGCAGAACAACGTCACCTGGCTGGTGCTGGACAGCGTGGTGGACGTCATCTTCCTGGTGGACATTGTGCTGAACTTCCACACCACATTCGTGGGGCCTGGAGGCGAGGTGATCTCCGACCCCAAGCTGATTCGGATGAACTATCTGAAGACCTGGTTTGTCATAGACCTGCTGTCGTGCTTGCCCTACGACATCATCAATGCTTTCGAAAACGTGGACGAGGTGAATAGAGCATGAGAAGCTGTGCATTAATGTAATTTCATGATTGCATCACTGCACTCAGATGCAAAGCCCTTAGTTGTGGTAAAATCACTGTAATGCACAGCCCTATGTGGCTTATTGCTTCTTTAAAAAATCCCAGAAATGTAAGATAAAAGGCAAATTCAATACATATTTTAAGCTATAATGAATAATAATCACAAAAATCAATTTGGCTAAGAAATATAATTCATTTAGAATAGACTGTTGTTGCCAAGCTGAAGATTTGCAGTCATTTCATTACATTTTTCCTTTTTTGTCATATAATAATGAATATTTTATAATAGTATAAATAGTATAAAACAGTACGTAAGTAGTCATTGGCTTCCAAACTCCTGCAATGATTATGCTAATTTACCCTAGCACCTCTATGTAAGTCCCTGTGTTGTGTTAGCACCAAAGCTAACAGTGACACACCACACAGAGTACTACAAAATGTCTACATTCAAGTTGCATGTTCCTTATATTACGCACATGTTTATATTGCAGGTTTACAGTGAATTATTCAGTAAATACTTCAGGTAAAACACTGAATATTAATAGAGGTGCCTGTGTCTTTTAGCCTATTTGTCAAGAAAATAAGTTGTTAGCCCTTCAGTTTAGGCAAACTGGCTTTTCACTTACTGTCCATCAATATGCTCGGTGGTCCATACATGCAATAGTGCAGTCCAATCACAGCACAGGGGTTTTTACTGAAGATATTCTGTTAAAAGTGCAGATTTGAAACTTTCAATCTATACTAGACTTGTGTTTGTGAGTAGAATGCATTTTGTATTTTATTATGATTTGATTTTTTTTGGTCATTATTTGACATTAGAACAAAAAGAAAGAAATCAGAAGTGCAGACTCAAATCTGTCAGTAATGTAAGTCGAATGCAAATATAATGCAAATCAAACAGTACCATTCATTTTATTATTATATAGTTACATTCAAACATTATAGCAAAAACAACTGTAGGAACCGTAACTCGAAATCATCCAAGTCCTCAGACAAAAAAATAGTGCATAGCAACGCTAACATAGCCAATGAAAGTCTATGAAATCAATGGGATCAGCTGGATGACATCAGTTCAGATTAGCAGTTGTTTCCTCACTGCTGGAGAAAATGGAATGAAATAACTCTAATTTGTCGGAATCCCTTCAGGGGTTAAAATAAAATGCTCAAGCAAAGCAACAAAGCTAACAATAACAGAGCAGATCAGTGCTAATCACTAACTAATACAGGCTGTTTACAAATGAAACCTGTACTCAGCCCCTTAAACTGGTGTGTCTTGACATCAAGCGACTTCTAGTTCTCTAAAACGTGAAGATTAAAAGGCTCTCCCTGTTGTGAGGCTGGTATTCCTCTCAGACCGGCCTAGCAGCTTCTCTCTCAAGTCTCTTCAAACGAACTAAAGCCAGAGGATTTGCACAGCTTTGGATGGGATCAATACTTTTGGAGATTAATTGATCCTCCATGTAGAGAGACAGAAGGATAGGAAAACAAAGCAGAGCTGTGTTCAACACTTAAGTGTTACGCAGAGAGATGGGGATATAGGAAGGGTGGAATCTCCTGTGTTGGGTAAGCAAATCTGTACTTTAAAAAGTAGTTTAATCTGAACTTTGGCTAATTGATCCGGGTTTCACACAGCTTCCACCAGGCAGTCAAAAGGTTCTGTTTTTGATGACCTGTCCACTGATAGATTGGATCTTGTCAGCAGGGATTTTATTAGGATTAAAAAAGTAGCTGGCTAATCACCAGGCCAGAAGTACGAGTCTACGCAATGCAGATACAACTTCCCTGCTGAAATAATCATAGAAGCCATTCAAAGTTACTGTTGATACCTGGTGGTGTCCAGTAGTCAGTATTTTGTGTTTTTCTGATGGGTTGATATCACAGTGTAAAGGATTCTAATGGTTTAAGGGGGAACTCACATGTAAAAATGGTTTACATGTGAACTTTCAGAGTGGTCCGGTGTGAAATGCGCTTTAAAAATTGTTCACCGTTATAGACATCCGGAGCATTTAATGGCTCTAAAAGAAACATCCCAATAAGTTTTTACTCAAAATGGTTCTGAATGCATTGCTTCATACCTGAGACATTGTTTTGTGATAGTTTTGTTATAAAGTTTTGACCAAAAATGTATTTTTAGTAACTTTTACTCCAGGATTATTTCTGTGTTTCCTCTCAAAACCATTTTCTCAACTGAGATCAGTGAGCGCGAGATAACATGCTGTTGCTGTTACTCGCCTGTAGCTACAGCTGTTCAGCATGGCTAACGCCAGCAGCAGCTTTTGTTTACAGTTTATTTTTATGGTTTTCTTACCTATTTTGGAAGATTGCAGAATATTTATCAGAGGACTTCGAGGAGGTCTGGATCCAAAATGTCGTAGATCCATATCAATCTGAAGGAGAAAAAACAAAGGAGTTGCAGAGGTTTAAAGGAGAGAGAGAGAGAGAGAGAGAGAGAGAGAGAAAGAGAGAGTCAGAGAAGGAGACACTGAACCTGCTGGCGCCAAAGCAGAACAACCCAGAGTGAATGGAATCTGCTGGTGTCAACAACAAACTACTTGCTACTCTGCTTACCAGTTCATGAGGTAGAATAGTGAGGTAGATAGTTTTTGTTTTCTTGCGTGTTCCACTTTAGACAGTCTGTTCTAAGCTAACGGCTAACAGTGACGTATGCACAGTCTCTAACGACGACTAATTTATTTCACTCACAAACGTTTCTTACCTTGATTCCAGTTTCTGCTGGAGTGAAACTGCGGGTGTGTAAATCCGCGGCTCTGCAGTCAGACCCTTCTCCAAAAGGAGTGCAGGGTGGAGAGGTACGTGCAGGGTGTTGTAAGGAAAAAGTAGTCCCCAAAGAAAACTTATTTTTTTCAAATTAGCACTATTTCACCATCATCAATATGACATATAAAAACTTACAAGACACACGTTAGTTCACTGGTCATTTTGGAAGCAGATAAAATGGTGATATTTGTAGTGTAGATATAACGACGTCTGGTTCCTAGTGCTACAATAGTGAACAATTCTGACTTTTAATTTCTCTAGAAAAGAGCATTTGACACCAATGATTTTGTTTACATCTAAACGATTAAATGATTACTTAATTTTGCAAAATCAATGGAGTTCCCCTTTGTGAAACTAATGCTTGTGATGGTCTTATTTCAGCAGGGTTGCTAACAAACTAGTTAGCCCAATTTCCACCTGATAAAAACATTTGGACATTATGAGGTCTAACTTAAAGCTACGTGGTTGAGTGGACTTAGCTGAGCTAACTAGAATGGTTAAATCGACTTGACCCCTGCTTACCTTTTTTATAATGAAATTTGGATGTTGCCCTTTACTGAGGAACCATTTTCTCTGAGTGGAGTCTTCATGTTAGAATTTCAAATGCTGATTCGTCGGACCACAGGACACTTTTTCACTTCACCTCAGTCCATTTTAAATGAGCTTGAGCCCAGAGAAGGTGGAAGCATTTCTGGATCCTGTTTATATGTGATTTCTTCTTTGCGTTTTAGAGTTTTAACTCTGAGCCCATGCAGTGATTTCCACTGCAGAATTATGTCTGTTTTTAATGCAGTGCTGCCTGACGGCCCAAAGATCACGGCCAGCCAATACTGTTTTTTGGCCTTGTCCCTTACATACAGAGATTTATCCAGATTCTCTGAATCTTTTAATGTTATTATGTATTGTAGATGATGAAAAGCAAAAATTCAACATTTTATGTTGAAAAATTCTTGAACTGTTGCACTATTTGATCATGCAGTCTTTCACAGAGTGGTGAACCCCTCCTCATCTTTACACCTGAAAGACTCAGCCTCTCTGGGTTGCTCATTTTATACACAGTCATGTTACTGATCTGTTTCCAAAGACTTTGTGTTGAGATGCTTCTAGCATTTTTTCTTGAGCTGCACTTTTGCAGCTTTGTTATTTTTAAAGAACTGCAGCTTGTTGGCTAGTTTTTGTTGAATTCCTGCTCCAGAGACAGTGAACTCTAGAGTGTTTTGTGCCTCCTTCTATCTCTAAACCAGCCCAGGCTCAATCGATCATGACCTTTCTGTAGCTGTAGGGGGGTCACTCTCCTGCACTGCTGCTGGTGTGTTAGTCATATCATCTGCACAGATCATATTAGCATTAGCATTAAATCAGTTGATGCCTCATTGGCCCAACCAAGTGCTGTGGGAGCTGGTAGTTTCCGAAGACTTACTTTTAACTTACTGTTAAACAGTGTGGGGTTCTGCACAGGTCATATTAGCATCAGCATCATAGCAATAAAAGCTTTATCTGAGAAACTAGCAGTGTTATTAGCCTTATTGCCCACAACCCAGTGCTGTGGAAGCTGTAGGTTTATGCTACACTGTTTAAGTTGCAGAGATGCCTGAGCTAATTAAATATGATATCTATATAGTCTTTGTGTAACTATATATTGTATATCCATACGGCTGGATCTTCTCCATGCTATGCTAGTCTCTTTCATCTCAAAAATATCAAAAATAGCTCTATGTAGTGCTTGTTTACCAGCCGTCATTTGATGTAGAAGTTTCTGATTATGCTGTTTAATCTCTCTGGAGAAGTGCTGAACTTTTTTTTACGTTACTTGCTAATAGTGGCGTTCGGGTTCAGCTTATATGCGTTCCTAAGGGAGGTCTGTGATGAGGTTGGGGCCTAAACAGCAAAATACACACACAAGCATTAGAGCCTGGAGCTAAATCCTTTAATCTCCCTTCAGATCACAAGGTAGCATTAGCTTGCTATGTTTCACTTTGCAAGTTTTCCACTTAGCCGCAAAACAGCTTGCAAAAATGAAACGGAATGTACTCGTTTAATGAATTTTTAGCTTAGAACATAAATATGATTATCAATATTACCTAATCTGCAGTGTTTTTATCTAAAAAATCTAGTTAGCTAACCAATAGCAAGCGTGTGTTGCTGGGTGTCTGTCTTTCACTGCATGACCTTCTACAGTGTTGGTTTTTAGCAGCTCAAAAAACTCAAGGCTAATTACCACATAATAGGTAAATCTCTGAAGGAGACTTTTAAGTGGACAATTGTCAGGCAAGGCTTTTCGGGATATCAGTTTAACCACTTTGCTTTGGCTCAGTTCGAACATCTATGCTTTACTGAGCTTTTGCTTTTGCTAATGAATTTATAATGTCCTTCAGCAAACTTCACGTGTTCAGTTAGTTTCATGTTACAAATGCGGAGAGAATTTTGCTCTTCGCTCCATTTCTTATTCTTTTGGCTGTTCTTATCATTTTTGACATAAAGGGCTTTCAACTTTTAATTATAACTTCCAACAAAAACTCTAAACCATTATAAAATTAATTTAGCATCTTTCATAAATGCCTGCCATGTGATAAAGCTGCACAAAATGTATTCATAATCAGCTCTGTTCAAGGGCTCTATGGCAATCAGAAGCAAAAGGAAGCAAATTAATAAATAGGCTATATAGCAGATTCATTCCATTTCAAACGGTTTTGAAACTGAAAACTAGTTTGCAGCTCTTTTATAGGCATCGGCATCTCCTGATGCTTTATTAGCAGGTTCCTAAGTTGCTGCCTGCTAAAAGTGAACCTGGGTAAAAGACTTTACGATGGATTCATTTCATTGGCTACTACATCGATCAGGCATAACATTATGTCCACCTCCTTGTTTCTACACTCATTGTCCATTTTATCAGCTCCACTTACTATATAGGTGCACTTTGTAGTTCTACAGTTACAGACTGTAGTCCATCTGTTTCTCTGCATACTTTGTTAGCCCCCTTTTGCCCTGTTCTTCAGTGGTCAGGACCCCCATGGACCCTCACAGAGCAGGTACTATTTGGGTGGTGGATCATTCCCAGCACTGCAGTAACACTGACGTGGTGGTGGTGTGTTAGTGTGTGTTGTGCTGGTCTGAGTGGATCAGACACAGCAGTGCTGCTGGAGTTTTTAAACACCTCAGTGTCACTGCTGGACTGAGAATAGTCCACCAACCAAAAATATCCAGCCAACAGTGTCCTGTGAGCAGCGTCCTGTGACCACTGATGAAGGACTAGAGGATGACCAACACAAACTGCAGCAGCAGATGAGCTATCGTCACTGTCTTTACATCTACAAGGTGGACTGACAAGGTAGAGTGTCTAATAGAGTGGACAGTGAGTGGACACAACACACACTAACACACCACCACCATGAGCTCCACTAATGTGCTCTGCATTCATTCACTCTTAGAAGCCTAAAGTTATTATTGTTGTTTTGCTATACAAGTGATTTAAAGTATATAATTATATTGAACATAACAAAGTTGCACAGTTAGTAAGAAAACAGTTATATTCATAATTAATTACTTTTACACTCAACTGACATTCTGTATTGACAGGTTCAGGTTTATATTATTTGATTAAAAAAGTTTTTTCTTTTCACAAAATGTGCACAAGAATAATTCCATCAAATTCAAACTATCTCCTCTGCTTACAAACACAAATGTTATATGGACTTAAAATGTATAATCTGCACTTTCTAAACATTCTACAAATGCTCATTATATGAGTGAGAATTATTTAATATAAAATCAGAGCATAGTTTTATTAACCGTGACTTCAGAGTCTGCATTTAAAGCAGAGCAAAGCACTGACCTCGACAACTGTTGTCTGCTTTCTAACAACTATTTAATCGCTTTCTTTGCCTGCTTTGTGCATCTGCTGCTCCCACAATCCTCTGTGCAAAATTGAAACAAACAACAAACAAAAATATTTCATACCAGATACATTTTGTCCTATGTACACATATGTAGCAAAATATGGATATTGCTACATGCAAGCTAACACTGCTGCACATTAAACTAACATCATAAGACTTCACCAAAATACCCGCACAGAGACCAGCAAGCTGATATGTGGTAGTTAACCTAGAATTTGAGTAGCTGGTGTTGCTATATAAGGCCTAGAGATTTCAGTAAAATACAAAATTCATGTCTGTAATTTTTAGTTCATATATATTTAATAGAGTCATCAGGCTTGTTGTATTTAAATTCTGCAAGGTTGCAGTAAAACTCTTTTTGCATTTTTAATTTAAAACAGAAGGGTTCAATTCTTGAAAGACCCAATGGAAAATTGTCCAATCAGCATTTCTAGGTAGATACCGCCAAGCAAGCTCTCCCATTGGTTAGGACTTCAGGAGCTGGACTGAAAGCCTTACACATCAGATTAACTAGCAACTTAATTCGGAATTGACAGTGAGCACATTTATATGCGCTTAATAAGCCGATAACTGCAGAAAATCAGATTTTGTCAGTAATCCGATCAACGTGTTTGCATGCAATTAATAATCCGATAACTGCAGAAAATCAGATTTTGTCAGTAATCTGATCAAAGTGTTTGCATGCAATTAATAATCCGATAACTTCTAGAGAACAAAGAATTACAGTCAGTCAATGGACTGGGCTTGTTCTTTGTGCTGAAACTGCTTGCAGACGGATTACTGATCGGATTACTGACAAAATCTAAAAACATTGTGCCACATTTCCTGAGAATATGAGCGTACATCAACTAGAAGATGATGAAAATTTAAATCCTTCATTTCGTCAAGCATGTAATTGGTTTCAGCATCGCTCCAAAAGTGTTGTGCTGCATGCGGCAACACTGCTCTCTTATTTCCAGTACCACCGTCTCTTTTCGCACATGCACAGACTGAGAAACTCAAAATAAATCACTAATATACTAATAGAATCCTGTATAGGTGCTAGCAGAAAACAGCATTATCATAGATGTGTATTGTTGACCACATTTTTGACTAAATTTTGACATTTATGGCCCGAGCAAAAGCCTATTTCTCGTCATGTTTCACCACTGGACAAAGCATTACGGTAGACTTACTTTCATGCAACATCAACTCGGTGCGCAGCAGTGTTAGCTCATAATTCAGAGCATCCAGTGACATTCAGCGGAAAATTGTACTCAGGATAACATATATCAACCTTGGAACACTTTTGTTTGCCACAGAGCATATAAGACTAGCTTAGACCAGGAGTTCCTTGCTTGGAAACGAAGGCATCTACAACTTGGCTTTAGTGGTTTATAGAAAACAATGTGAGGAGAAACAAGAATCACTTAATCTGCCATAATGTGTTTGCAATCTAAGGGTTTCCTTGCATGTTGGCAGTGAATGTCATCAGAGGCCTAATGAGTTCATTCTTTGCTATCTTTCAGGGGATTAGCAGTTTGTTTAGCTCCCTGAAGGTGGTGCGGCTGCTGCGGTTGGGGCGTGTGGCACGGAAACTGGACCATTATCTGGAATACGGTGCTGCTGTTTTGGTCTTACTGGTGTGTGTGTTTGGGCTGGTGGCTCATTGGCTAGCCTGTATCTGGTACAGCATCGGAGACTACGAAGTCATTGATGAGCTCACAAACACCATCAAGACAGACAGCTGGCTCTACCAGTTAGCAACTAGCATCGGCTCCCCTTACCGCTACAATGCTAGCGGCTCTGGACAATGGGAAGGCGGCCCTGGGAAAGACTCTCTTTACATTACGTCTCTCTACTTCACCATGACAAGTCTGACCACCATTGGATTTGGGAACATCGCACCGACCACTGATGGAGAGAAGATCTTCTCGGTGGCCATGATGATGGTGGGATGTAAGTGTCAATCTATATTCACTACTTTTTCACTACTTAAAATGAAAAATCAAAATCAAATTTACAGTTTTCCTCCCCGAGTCCACATGTGGTCAGTCAGCCAAGGCATGTTTGCTGATGTCTGAAGTTGGCTTCTTTAGTTTTGCACTGGAACTACAAGGCTAATGTAGCTCACAGGTAATGGATGCAAATGCTGTGCTAAACTAAATTTCTGACCTTTGACTAGGAAAACACCAAAGAGCATGTCCCATAAACTGAATGTCCAACTCAGAAAGTCAGGAAGGTGCCCTTTCAGCATATGACATCATATCAGCAGTAATAAAATACTATAATACTGCTTTAAATCAATCTACATACACATTCATTCATTCAATCATTCATCATCTATAACCACTTAATCCAGGTTGGGTTGCAGTAGAGCAGAGAATCCCAGACGGCCCTGTCTGCAACTTCCTCCAGCTCATTCTGGGGGGACTCCAAGCCGCTCCCAGGCTTGGGGTCGCGTCCCAGTAGGCCGTGCCTGGTAAACCCCGACCAGGAGGCGACCAGGGGACATCCTGACCAGATGCCCGGACAACCTTAACTGGCTCCTCTCAATGCGGAGGAGTAGCAGCTTCACTCTGAGCTCCTCAAAGATGACCGAGCTCCTCACCCTGTCAAGTAGAGTGTAGCCCACCACTGTGTGGAAAGCTCATTTCCATTTTGTATTCGTGATCTCATTTTTTTCGGTCATTACCCACAGCTCATGACCACAGGTGAGGGTCGGGATATAGAACGACCGGCAAACAGAGAGCTTTGCCTTATGGCTCAGCTCCCTTTTCACCACTACAGTCCGGTACAGTGACCGCATTACTGCTGCCGCCTGTCCCAGCCTGTGGCCGATCTCACGATCCCTCTTTTCAATCACTCGTTAGCAAGACCCCCGAAATACTTAAACTCCTCCACCTGAGACAGGTCCTTTCCCCTTACCTGGAGTGGCCTTGCCATTCTTTTCAACATACACTGTAGTTGGTTAAATAAAAATATTAACCATAAAGTTCACTGTTTTGAGATACTAAATGCATCACAAATGTTATCATTCATATCACTAACATCTGTCTAGCTTGTTGCTAACAATACCTGCTTTCTGTAAGGGTCCAGCCTGTGCCGCCAACCACCAGCAGAGGGCAACGGTGGTGAGGCGCCACCAGTTCAGGGAACCCCAATTCCCAAAAGCCTGTGGGGTCCTCTACTTAAGGCCGTGGCAAGCAGCAGCCCGTTGTCGGTACTTAGTGTTGTAAAAGAAATGGAAAGAAAAGAAAAGAGGGCTGAAAAAAGAAATTGCTCCAAAAGTACAGAAAGAAGGAAAAGGGAGCAAAAAAGACTAAATTGCCCCAAAACTACAGAAAAGACAAAAAGAAGGCTTAAACAAGAAACGGCTCCAATGCAAACAAAAAGTTTCTATTCTACAAGCAGCTGAAAGATAAAACTGATCTTCCTCTCATAATTACAGAGGAAGTGTCTTTTGTTTTCTGGTTATCTTTTGTTTTACTTTTCTATCTTAGCCTTTGTTTGAGGATGCTGTTTTCATCCCCTTTGTCTGCCCTTTCCCACCATTTTTTCGCCTATTTTTGCCCCTGCTTCCTGGTGGCGCAGTGGTAACTCCTTGCACCACCATTCAGTACATTGGCGGTTTGAGCCACCCCAACGTGCAGAATCACTCTGTTTACACTCCGTCACCCCGTTAGTTCATTTAAGACCCTTTCTCACAGGTTTTCCTCTCTGCACTTCGGTCCGCCTCCCTGCCGCCCCATAACTCTTTCATGCAGGCAGCCATGTTTGTTGGAAATGACATAAATGTGACCTCCTACTTCCTGTTTTCAAGCTAAGTTGAAAGCAGTTTCACAACTCCTCTAATTAGCACTGTGTACTTTCTGACACTGTATGAAATGGTAATATTCATTTAAAAGTGTGTGAACAGTATCAGTAACAGTTCTTGCTAATAGTTTGTCATACAGTCCACATAAACAAGTCTATTAGCCGTTAGCACCAGGCTAACTGCAAACAGGATAAAAATTTTAGTGGGGTCAGTTTAGCAGAAAAGTCAGCTTTTTCAATCTTGCTTCTCTGTCTTCACTGATTACTGAAGAAAGCATAATGTTACATTAAAAATAGGTTAGAAATGTCTGTCTCTGCCAAAGTCCAGCTAATGGGAAGCAAAGCTACTCAACAGTTAGCCAGACATAATACAGCCTCAAGTGCCTTAATTTCTTAATTTCATCATTATGTCTCATGGTACTTTGCCAACATCACGCTAGTTAGCAGTGAACCTTCTCAAGCTGATTGTAGGTAAGACAACAACTTTGAACTACCACCAAGTTCTTTTGTGATCGCTAATGCAGCAACTGTGGAGCATCAGTCTAAACCAAACAGCTACTGGAGCCAGGCTGAAGCTTGTTGACTAAGCTAGTCATGTTTCAAGTAGTCCAATTTAATAAACTAGTTATGAGGTTTGCATTTTACAAGCATTATCTTAACTGCCCTCATAATCTCTTACATTTTTATCATAGCAATGTCGTATGTTAGCGTTTAGCATGTGTGCTTCATATCTGAACATCTTAAAAAGTCAAAGCCACTCTGGGAAGCGTTAGCATCTCATACAGAGATGGAGTTTCCACACCTAATCTCATATAACCCAGCCACTATGGTTAGCACATTGCTAATGGGTGTAGCATTTTTTAGGCTTCTATTACTTGTTAGCTACATTAGCCTTGTAGCCTCAGGTCAGAACAGTTTCACCTGAGGATCGGGGAATTGGGTAAAATCTGCATTTTCACCAGACTGTTCCTTGGAAACGATTGCCTTCTGATTCTATTCTGTTCTGCTTCTTTATTGATCAAAAAGCAGAGGGAGTTTTTTTTTCTTTCTCGTCTCTGAAGCATCTATAAATTCAGAGATGTGATCGATTTCAGCCCCTTCAGAGCAGAAAGAGATCAGACACAATGCAGGAAGGACAGTCTGCCCTATTTTGACAGCCATTTTCCATCTTTTTTTCCCTTTTTTCTTTCACTCTCTCTCCCTCAAACGTACAGATTTCAGAGTTTAGTGTAATGGCCTATTTAATTTGATCAGTGGATGATATGAGAGAATTGGATGCGCTGGTATGCTGAGCAAGCACACACACACACACACACACACACACACACACACACACAAAACACTGACATTATCGAGCCGCTCTTCAGTTATTTATAAGTCCAGTTTTTCTCTTCTCATTTCAAAGTCATAAAGTTTTTTAGGTTTATTATGTTGTGTCCAGACATTTCAGAAGTACAAATACAGCAGCAGCTCCAAGGCTGATTCTTTACCATATATTTTATATGAGCAGGCATGTCAACAGCCCTGTTTCATAGGTTCAGTACAGCTTGTCTGTGTAAGGACAGATGGAGTTACTGGATTACAGATTTCTGTACTTATGTCAACACAGATACCTTTTAAGACTGATATATGTAAACTACGTCTGTTCTGATTGGCTACCCTGTGTTATGTCTCATTCACAAAGCAGTCCAGGCTGAAAAGTACAGAAAAAATGTTTAGATTTATAATAAACATTTCTTAAAAAACATGACCTCAGTCACTGTTTCTTACGGTGGTCCGGAGAAGCCTTGAGGTAGTTATAATTTTCTGGATTGTTATATTGAGAAAATTATTTAACTATCTTGTGATCTCAAGATAACAAAAGTTGTTATCTTGAGACAATGAGTTAAATATCTTGTAAACTCAAGATAGCAAATGTGTTGAAATTACATTTGAGTGTTACTTTTCAAGAAAACTAAGATTCAGATCAGCCATCCACTGAAACGAGTCTAAAACACTCCTGCTCCTCGATTTCCCTACTACACTTTCCAGAAAAAGGCTTTGAATTAATGGCTCTGAACGCCACTTCAGGGAGGAGTGATGGTGACTAGTTGAAAGTTTGACAGAGATATGAGGCAGCATGACCCAGCGGCTGTCTGTTCTTCTTCCATTTAAGCTGCCTATCATCTGTCTTTCCATCAGTCATCGGTTTTTGCTTCTTGCTTTTTTTTTTGGTCTTTGAGGAAGCAGACAAATTATCCCTCATTTTGAGCTACGTGTGTGAGGATCAGAGAAATAGGGAGAAAAAGAACAAGATAAAGAACAGAACAGAATCTATACTCACTTCATTAGAGACAACTACTTATCACTGATAAATCAAGCAGTAACAGATGAGCTACAGTATGTAATTGCCCACCTATTCAGTGGACCCTACAGGGTAGGTGTTTCTAATAAAGTGGCCAGTGTGTGTGGAAGTACAAGGTAGGTGTTTCTAATAAAGTGGCCAGTGTGTGTGGAAGTACAAGGTAGGTGTTTCTAATAAAGTGGCCAGTGAATGGAAATACAAAGTAGGTGTTTCTAATAAAGTGGCCAGTGAGTAGAAGTACATGGTAGGTGTTTCTAATAAAGTGGCCAATGAGTAGAAGTACAAGGTAGGTGTTTCTAATAAAGTGGCCGGTGAGCGGAAGTAAAAGGTAGGTGTTTCTAATAAAGTGGCCAGTGAATGGAAATACAAAGTAGGTGTTTCTAATAAAGTGGTCAGTGAGTAGAAGTACATGGTAGGTGTTTCTAATAAAGTGGCCAGGGGGTGGAAGTACAGGTTAGGTGTTTCTAATAAAGTGGCCTGTGAGTGGAAATACATGGCTAGTGTTTCTTATAAAATGATCAGTGAAGACATTATAAAATGAAAAGAGTAGAAATGTTTTGGACAGATTTGTTTGTCCGAGCCATGATGTCATCACAGATAATGAATTTCTACTAATGTGCTGTTTTTAAATGTACTGGAGCAGAATGGCAGGACTGCGTTTGAGTGTGTGTGTGTGTGTGTGTGTGTGTGTGTGTGTGTGTGTGTGTGTGGTTGGAACAGATAACTAAATAATAAAGAACTGTCTGCTGTCACTCTGACCCAACCAATGACAACCTGGTCCGCCTTGACAACAGAACAT